CCACCACTTTCACGAGTGAGAATAGTGATAGGCTAGCTATGGTGCTAGATGTGAAAATAGTTCATGCTGGATGGGCTCCCAGCAATGAGGGCCGGTGTCTGGCTGAATCTTCTACACCCAGAACCCATTCCAAGGGCCCAGGAATCCATCTCCAGTTCTTCTCCTCCATCTGACACTGGTGTAGACTTTGTAAGATTAGATAAGCCCACTCGCCCTGCCCTCAACAGCCCTATGTAAGTTTCAGACTTAGTTTTTGTGCCCACCTACATTATTGATATTTAACTTAGGTACAGCATGCTATAGCCATGCCTACACTTCTTGGGGCAATGTGATCTTTAAAATCATTCATGGAATTCCCAACTTCTGGAGCATCAGGGACACAAACTCACAGTTAGAGAGAAACTGCTAAAAGAAATATGGGTAACACACAAAAAATGGCTGGCACATTACCCATTTTACTGAAGGCAGGAAATCAAACCTGTGCAGCTTTGTGTATGGACACTCACTTTTGATTTAAACCTGTAGTGCATCAATTCAAACCACAGTAAGATCATCAAACCGTCAAAGTGCACTAGTTTAACATCAGACCTTGAATTATGGTGCAACTTCTGTGTTTAGAGAAGCCCTAAAACACACTCCTACATTTAGATTTGACAGGTGGAACTCATCCAGTTCCATCAGCCACACCACCACCCTGTAACTCCTAACTCAGAAGAGAAAGGGCTACTGTAGCTACTGACTGTGTCAAGACCAGTAAACTAAAGATAAAGAACAAGATAAAGAACATACTTCAAACCTACTTATTTTATTAAAACAGCAATCTAGGAACAAACTGGGTCAGAGTGCAACTGCCTTTCAGAACACATTCATTCTCTGCATGTGGCACTCTTAACAGGACTGCATTTTTGTATCAACATATTTGATACAAAGAACATCCCCAAAGGGCTTTTAAATGTTAAAGCATCCTTACAAAGTTAAAAATGAAATTAAAGCAAAGAAAAAAATAGGAGTTGGTAAAATATGAAAATATTATTAGTTATACTGCATATAGACACCTCAGTCATAGGCAAGAACTCACTGTTCAGGGCCATGGACACACAGAACCACCCAGACCCTCTGTTGCAATCTGAGTATCTCAATCTTACATCTCACAGATGGGCAGGGGGCTGGACGCAATGACCTCCTGAGGTCACTTCCAGCCCTAGGATTCTATAGATAGCCCAAACATACTCAAGAGTCCTCAATGTTTATGGGAGGGGATAATAGGCTCAGCCCAAGAAAAATGGGCTAGCCCCAAAGCTCAGGTGTGGTTCTGAACATCCCCAAAGTTTGATCCAGGGATTTCTCTCATTGTTACCATGTTACCCCCTCCATCTGTCTGTGTACATCTCTACAGCCCTGCGCAGATACACAATTTATATCTGCGTCCGCAAAAAATGAGCTGCAGCTACCCACATCCCTGGATACAAAACAGATATCCGCTAATTTGCAGGGTTCTAGATAAAAAAATTGTATCTGTATCAGTATCTGCACTGTGGATATCCACATTCATATGTGCAGCTGCAGATACCCACAGATTTACAGAGCTCTAACTCATCTGTTGCCACTTAACTTGGCTTGCCAGCCTCTTGGAGCCCAGAGCACCTAGCCCAAAGGAGCTCTGGCTCTGAGTTAGGTGCTGCACGGATACAAAAAAACATTCAGTTTGCAGTCTTTGCAGAG